TACCGATATCCTAGTTGAGCTGTGAATTCGGAAATAATTCCATGGCCTAAGGACATTAGATGTTACTATTACATTTGAGTCCTTTCGTCTGCGTATATTTTAAATAGTTCCACAAAATAACCGACGAAAATGAGTACCATGATTTATTGCTCCGTAAAAGCTAATAAAATTAAGCCCGCCACCTGTTCCCCGAGCTTTTTCACACTCAAACACTTTCCGTTCGAAAGTTTCGACAACAGCCGTCTTCCGGACTTCGAAAGTTTTGTTAAGGTATCTCGATCTACGTGCTTTTGTTGTTCACTTTCCTTTATGTTAGAACTTTAAAGTTCAATTTGCGTTTTACTGCAAAGTACTGTCTAGCTTATCTCACCTGTTTTGAGTGGCTTTCGTCACCAATAGGAATCGCAATTTGTTTTATCGTCATCATCTTCAGCCCTTTGATATCAACGGCTAGGCATAGGCCTTCCCATTTTTATGCCATAATGTTCCATCGCCCACCATTCTCATCGACATCTGCCCCGCCATCCTGACTATATCATCAGTACACCATACCACAGCTCTTTCAGCATCTTTACGACCTAATTTTGACCACCATTCCATCACTGTCCTATTCCATCTCGTATCATATTGCTTTTTTTGTTTTGTTTAGATGGGTAGACGAGCTCACAACCCACCTGGTGTTAAGTGGTTACTGGAGCCCATAGATACCTATGACGTAAATGCGCCCCCCACCTTGAAATATAAGTTCTAAGGTCTCAAGCATAGTTACAACTAGTAGATACCATCACCCTGCCTATTTCTGCCGTGAAGCAGTAAGTAATGCGTTTCGTTTTGAAGGGTGGGGCAGCCGTTGTAACTATACTTGAGGCCTTAGAACCTATATATCAAAGTGGGTGGCGCATTTACGTTACAGATGTCTATGGGCTCCAGTAACCACTTAACACCAGGCTGTAAGCTCGTCCACCCATCTAAGCAATAAAAAAATAAAAAAATAAAAAGACAACAAAAAGGAATTCGCAGGGTTTGTTAAAAATCTAAGCGCAGTATTTAAGTATGTAGTATAACGCATTCGCGACTAATTAAAGAGTAGTTAGGTCCATTCCTACAACTAAGCACATACTTACAATACAACCCTCCTACAACCCTCGATGCTGGCATAACAAAATGTACCAATAAAACCAGTCGCGAAAATCGTGTTAACTAAAGCAATTGCTTTTGTATACAAAGTATTCTTTATTTTAATGTGTGATTGATGTTCCATCTTTAGAATTGGAACCCAAGAGTGCAATGCGGCAGAAACGCCGCGTTATCTTTATCTATATACCTAGGTATATGTAATAAATGAATTGTTGTTCGTTAGTCTCGCTAAAACTCGAGAACGGCTTGACCGATTTAGCAATGACCAATTTTGGTCTTGAATTATTTGTGGAAGTCCAGAGAAGGTTTAAAAGGTAGATAAATATGAAAATCCTCGGAATTAAATAAAAATAACAATTTTGTTTTTCCTTTGATGTGTCCCCCGTCGGAAGGATTCCTTTTGTTTGTTTTAAGTTTATTTTATACAAAAGCTTAGGTCTTTTATTTATCGATTAAGGCACAATGAAGTCTGCCAGGTCAGCTAGTACTAAATATAATTATGTTATCAGCTCGCACGAATACCAATATGCCCTAATAGAAAAAAAAAACATATTAAGTACATAAAAGTCGAACATGGAACGCGTCTCGTAACATCAATATAATCAAACCAGCGTAAAGACATAAAAAAATCATATGAATTTTGAACGAAACCGTTCTCTTGACTAAATAAATACGAAGATTTTATTACTCTCCCGAACTCAGTCGAAGAACAGGAAGTCCAAAACTAAAATCGTAAAAGAGACTGAAGATAAAAACTTATTTTTTTCAAAGTTGGTTGGTAAGCTCGAGTGCAACGCAATAGGGTTACCGCAGAAAAAATAATGTAATATACAAAATTCAAAACAATGTTAGTTACCATACTCCTCCGAAACGGTTTGACCGATTTTGTGAAAATATTTTTGAATTATAGAATGTTAATCAGCTATTTAAACCCCTATTTTGAGACATTCTTTATTGGTGCTTTTACTTGTATTGTCCTTACCGTGATGTTATATATAGGCCTTCCTCAATAAATGGCTTATCTAACACTGAAAGTATTTTTCAAATCGGACCAGTAGTTCCGCGATTGTAAGATTAGCGCGTTCAAACAAACAAACTCTTCAGCCTTATAATATTACTATAGACTAGAAGCCAGTACAAAAGAAGAGTAATGTTACGCGCTGGGATTCGGGATAAATAAAAATTCTATTGAAGTACAAATAAAAACTCTATTTAACACTTAGAACACTCACAGAACAGTTTACATTTCGTAATTCACTTCTTCCGCTTCGCTTCTGGTGACCCGTTCGCTGTTTCGCTTCAAGTAAATCCGATTACTAACTGCCTTCGTGTCATCTCTGCAACGCTTTTATAGTCGATACGACATACCTAGAATTAAAGAGAAAATTCTCGATAAGTCGAGATATGTGTTTCCGCTATTTGATAATAGATGGCGTTGTGCTTGTTGAGTGTTCTCGGTTTTACTAGTTCTTTTGATATTCGCTTCTGCTATTCGAAGATAGATGGCGTTGCTCTTACCGGCGTAACAGGATTTTTTCTGATTGAAACATCTCAACTATGCCTGTATGTATTATACATAAAAAATAAGCAGTAAAATTTTGGTTATTTTGATATATTGTGTGTTCATATTTCGTAATGTAATTTTTTATTTAACAAAAAACCCTTTATCGTGCTGTAGAAGTACCGTGTTTTATGAAGGTTTTAGGGATTTTTTCTTCTAGCCTTAGACTGAATTTGTGTTGTACAATTCCCTTAAAAAATAAGGGTTATCTGTTTATAGCAAATGAATGAGACACATTCAAAGAGCTCAAATTAGGATCTAAAGTATTTTAAATGCCAAATTACGCAATAAGGCAAAGCTAGTCCAAGCTTTATACTAATTATTTTTATCTTTCACATAGACCCTAAGTTCGATCTAGAATTGACGCAGTAGACAAAGAAGCAGGCAATCAATAAGATGCCCTTAATTGGCTTAATATAGCTAACATTCCAAGCTTGTAGCATGATTCCCTTCAGACTCTCCCACTGTGGTCTTTCAACGCCAATTGATAGAAAAACTTTGCGATTTCTCTTTACCAAACCGTTCAACCCTACAGAGCCGGATAATATTTTACTTCTACAACGACATTATGATAAACTCCGGATATCCGGCAAATGTAGTTAAAACTGAACTAGAAGGTGACGTGACGCGTGTCATAAAACTGACGGGTCTTGCTTGGCGCAACTCACAAACGTCAGCGTTTTATGTTGGAATACTATAATAATACATACAATGTGATTATTTAAAACGTGAATAAAACTAACCAATTTTCTTTTCTTCTATTTCTCTCAAGTTATTAAATAACATTAGCTGGGTTTTATAGTTCGAACTATTTTATAGATTTTCCTCTGGTATTTTAATATCAAAATATTGGACGATTTGTCTGAACTTATGTACAAAGTTCAGGAGTTATGCTTCACAAAACACATGTTCAAGGTTGCATCGAGACTGCTCCCATCTCTGGGGCCCGACTTCCAAATTTCAGCTGTATCCACTGAAATCACACAGAAAAAGGCTGTTTCGATTGTCAATAATTCCATCCTCATGGATCGTATGTAATCACTGGATATTTGAAGGAACTCCGGCTCTCTCTATCTTATGTACCGTATGCTATATGGGGTATTCTCGGATGAGTTGTTTGCAATGGTCCCGTCAACTCTTATTTACCGCTAGACTCCACACCACTGGAGCAAAGCATTTCTGCCTCGTACCAACCGGATTTGGAATGAGCTTACTTCATGATATTTCTTGATCACTGTGACATATCCTTTTACAAAGTACCTAATTTTGCGGAGAACGCAGTAGGCACTTGGCTGTGGCCTCTAGCATTGCTGACGTTAATGAGAAACAACAGTCACTCGCTATCAGGAGGGTATTATGCTCGTCTGCCTACTAAGGCAATTAAAAAATTAAGACATTTAAGAATAGACAAAAGCACAAGCTGAGCACCTCTGAATGGTTTAAATCCATGACAAATACACAAAAAAACCCATTCGCTCATAACTCGAGTCTGATCGTAGAAAATGATAGGCACATGTACCGTGTCTCGCAGTGAATTAAACAAGAAAACGATTAGTAGCTGTTGTTAGTAATAGCTTTCATCATCATCTTTGACGCGAAGCCGCGAAGCTCGGTTGTGCCAATTCCTTTGACTTTCATTGCTTCTCAAAGATCATTTGAGAAATTTCAACCTAGCAGTAGATTACGGGCTTAGGGTAACAATATTTTCTGTGGGGTCGCATAGCTCGTGGTTGCTGCGACCGGTCCATTGACCGTTCTCGTGTACCGCACCAAAAATTCATCAGATACTCCTCCTCTTGAAGATCAGCAGATCGATCTCATCTCTTAAATAAACCCATAAAGTTTTAATGAAATGTCAATTATTTAGCGGGGCTTAAAGTTTGAATGTGAATTTGTATGGATAGGCAGCAAGTTGATAACAACGGTCATATGAATAGTCACATGGGCAACATGTTATAAGTCGTTAGGTAATTGAACCAGCTGTGACTTTACTAAAATTTAAAAAATCTGTAGGTAGTTAATTTACTAAGTTTGAGCTTTTCTTTCTTTCTTTCTTCCACTATTGAGGTGAACGAGCTTTCAGCTCATCTTATTGTTATACGAAACGCGATATAAGAAACACAGTATAATGCTTGCTATCTCATTTTCTCCCACGTTAAATCTTATTAATTTATGTTGTTGTCTCTTTTTACTGTCGTGTTTTCGCTTCGTCGACTTTCGAGACACAACGATGTTAAAGAAGCTTTTGCTTGAATGTTATCAGAGAAACTGGAAGCGATAAATGTGTGTTGGATTGTGTTAGGTATGGCGATGTCGCGTCGTCGCAGGCTCGATGGAGGCGGGTGAGCGGGACCGTCGGCGCCGATGCGCGCCTGGTTCGTCGTGTGTGCGGCGCTCGTCGCGGTAAGCCGGGCGACCGCGGCGACGTCCGCGCACCCCCACGCCCCTACCGCGCGACTAGAGCGGATCAAGTCACAGATACTCGCCAAGGTAACGTTAATTATATATACACTAGATGATGACCGGTTTTTTTTTTGTTAACGCCATCTTGTTGTCTCTTTAAAGCGGTTAGTTGTCCTCAATTAAGAAAAATAGTATTATTATTCGCCAATAGATGTCGGGAAGAGTCATAAAGTTCATTATTGATAAAGTTGATTATTGAAAACACGAATAAAACAAAATTTTCTGAAAATAAATCGTAGCTAGATCGATTTATCGCCCCCGAAATCCCCTGTATACTAAATTTTATGAAAATCGTTGGAGCCGTTTCCGAGACTCAGATTGTAATATATATATATATATATATATATACAAGAATTGCTCGTTTAAAGGTATAAGATACTAGATGTACCCGTCCGCTTCGCTGGGCTTTTAAAATTAACATTATTATTTCTCACCCCCACAAAGTTTCTCATCATTAACGCCCCCACAACTGGTGTAGCGAGTCCAACACTCATATAAATATTAACCTATCCATTAATTACATGTATTTTCTACATGGATACCAAGTTTCAAGTCAATCGGATGCATGGTTCAGTAGTTATAACGGAACATCCGTAAAAGCCACTGTAGATTTATATATTAGAATAGATAATAATATAACATATTATGGGTGACGAGCTCACAGCCCACCTGGTGTTAAGTAGTCACTGGAGCCCATAGACATCTACAACGTAAATGCGCCACCCACCTTGAGATATAAGTTCTAAGGTCTCAAGTATAGTTACAACGGCTGAACCACCCTTCAAACCGAAACGCATTACTGCTTCACGGCAGAAATAGGCAAAGCGGTGGTACCTACCCGTGCGAACTCACAAGAGGTCCTACCATCAGTAAAAGCAATAGTTTAGTAACCCCCTACTTCTTCCTGTATCTGTTTGAAGATTACGCATTAACCTTGTACCTTCCATCATCAGCTGGGTCTGACCTCAAGACCGACACCACAAGGCGCGCCGCCCCGCGACGTTGTTCGCGCGATCCTGGCGCGCGCAGCCGACTCCGAACCACAACCACCACAGCAAGAGGAGCACATGAGAGAAGTCATTGCGATAGCGCATAAAGGTCAATATACCAGTTTTAATGTATCCAAAAATAGCAACGTTCGTTCCAATAGCCAGTGGCGGATTTACCCTAATCCCCGGCCTAGGGATGCCAGATTTAGGTTCGGCTTCAGCCGTGTCAAAAAACTTATTATAACGTATGGCGGGCGGATTGTACTGCATGGTGCAATCTATAGCGCATAAAACAATTTTTTTTTTCCTAAAAATTTCTAAATCTATCTAGATAAAAGTTGGCAATAAAGTAATTTCATTATGTAGTCTATGTGGTGGATGCTGAGAAAGGGCCGGCTGATGGCTTGGGGCCTAGGGCGGCTGAGACTGCAAATCCGTCACTGCCAATAGCAGTGGACCCCTACACAACACGCAATAGTCATCTAGCTACCGCTGGATATGAGCGTGTCGTCACAATAAACAACTATAGCACTGAACAGTTGATTTATTTGAGTGATTTTCAAATAGCACGGTCACCTTTCTTCTTTCTAAGAGATTTTGGCTATTATCTCGGAATAGCGTCTAACCTACCTCCTATATAGAATGCATTACCTATTTGTTAATTGATAGGTTTTACGGGAATATACAGACAGTCAGACAGACAAGATACAAAACACATTCAATCACTCATAAGCTGTTATTCAGTACTATTTACATTTAGAACTGATAGCACGCTTATTTTGCTTAAAATAATTAGCTATTACTAGCTGACCGAGCAGACTTCGTAGTGCCTCAATCGATAAATAAAAGACCTAAACTTTTGTATAAAATAAACTTAAAACAAACAAATTGAACCCGTCCGACGGGGGACACGTCAAAGGAAAAACAAAATTGTTATTTTTATTTCATTCCGAGCATTTTCATATTTATCTACCTTTTAAACCTTCTCTGGACTTCCACAAATAATTCAAGACCAAAATTAGCCAAATCGGTTCAGCCGTTCTAGAGTTTTAGCGAGACTAACGAACAGCAATTCATTTTTATATATTATATAGATAGACATAGATATGCACCGCCACTTGAACTAGAGTGGAAACATATTTAAATTTTAATCGCGCGAAAACTGTCAAAGCAAACTTAAAAGCATTTTCTGTCCGAAATAATAGTGCCTTTCGTATTATCGTAGGGTAATAGTGTCGTTATTGTGATACATATTATGTTATGATTTAATGCCCCAGCATAGGAGTCATCTTCAGAGGTCGTTGGGCTTTATTGACTACTCAAAAACAGACAGACTAGTGTTGTTTTGTTGACACTAATTTAAGTAATAAATTATCTTTGATGTCACTTAACTTTGACGTCAAATGAAAATGTAAGTGTAAAGCAAAAAACATTTACAATGTAGAGTAAGAAAATTCAGGAATCAATCGACAGACCAAATTATACACAAAATTACGAGTTTTTAGGTAATAGCAAATAACTTTGTAACCTAACATATAATAATACTAGCGATCCGCCCTCGCTTCGCTTCGGAAACTGTAATTTATTATTGATTTCTCCACTATTTAATGGATGTTATTATACATATAAACCTTCCTCTTCAATCATTCTATCTATTAAAAAAAACCGCATCTAAATCCGTTGCTTAGTTTTAAAAATTTAAGCATAAATAGGGATATAGGGACAGAGAAAGCGACTTTGTTTTATACTATGTAGTGATATAATTATTTTAAAACAGTATAGGTATCGCCAACTAGAAATTGTTTCACATAAAATACTTCAGAATGAAACAAATATATTTGTCCATGTTTTTCCTTGGAACTCGATATCTGAACTTATTGAGTTATTAACCTGATTCGCGAACACTTCACTTACTGACGCTGTCTGAAATAATTATAATATGTTTTTGTCACTGAATTTGTTTTTAGGCATTAATTGCTTTATTATTTGGTCTATCACTGTATTTATTATGTTTAATATTTAGTTATTATTATCACGAATTATTAATGGGAATCGAATGTGTTGCCAGCGTAACCTATATTCAGTAAATTACTTCGATACGTAATGTATATTAGATATTGTATGTTATTTATGGGATGCATAAATGAAACTTGATTGTGGGATACGAATAGCGTGGTCGCGACACATAAATCACAGGAAATATCCGACGACACAGATGTCAGAAGTTGCCCGTCGCCAGATAGGACAGAATCCAGACAAGGACCTTCCCAATTAGGCCAAAACACAAGCTTCAAGTTAAATTATCTTTTCTTTCCTTCTAATTGAATTCTGGGTAATTGTGGTGTTTTTGTTCTATTTGCCTTTAATATAAGCGTTGGTAGCCTGCTGGTAATTAGCAACGTATTAATAAAAACAGCTTCACGGCGAAATTATAACACTAATTGAACATGCATTGGTTTATTAACAACATTTAATGCGAATATAAAATTAATAATTACGATACAAAGTTCATGCGACATCTCGTGTTATATGAAATAACTTTGTTGTTCATTATACTATTGATAGATGGCGCTGTTTTAAATTTTTTGCACAAGCAGTTGTCCATTGTGATTGCACATAAAATTATTATTATTTTAGTAGAATTAACACAACTTTATTTGATATTGTTTGTAATTCATTTTATTTACTATATTAATTCACATTCGACAACTTTATTTATATTTTACTTTATGAAATACTCTTGAATTATTGGCTGATAATTCATTGGGTATTTTTTTCATTACATAATATTTCGTTTGAATTTTTAATTTTAATATTAAGTACAACTCGGTGACAAAAAACATTGTAATCTTCAATAGATTAAGCCGCTGTCAAAAAGCTGTGTGAAACATGGTGCATTATTTTCTAATTGACAAAAAGGCTTATTAGCTTAACAAGCCGTCCAAAACTTCACTCGTGTAGTTTAAAATTACATCATTTGAAGATATATAGGCTCTCCCGGATCACCACAACCGAATATGTGGTGCGTGGAGTCTAGAGTCTGACTATTCTAATATCCGTAAAAAATCGTAATTTTTTTTTTCATTTACTTCAGTTTTTGCATCCATATTACATTCAATAACATTTCATACAGTATACCAGAATTAAATAAAAACAATAACTACAATCTCGGAATAAACAAAAGCAATAATAAAATTGGAGTGTCTGTTTGTAATATTGAAATTACCGCTTTTTACTACATGCATATGAATATTGTACGGTACATAAACCAAAATAACATTTTTTACAATTTTTGTCTGTCTGTCTGTCTGTCTGTTTGTTCCGGCTAATCTCACTTCACTGATATGTAGGTAGCTGATGATATAAAGAGTAACTTAGGCTACTTTTTTTAGACTAGCTTCGCCCCGCGGCGTCACCCGCGGTACGACAATAACCGCGGGAAACATCGCGGGACTCAGCTATCAATAATAAAATTTAATGTTTCCGAAGCGAAGCGGGGGTGGATCGTTAGCATAAATAATAAAACAAAAAATCAAAATTAACGTCAAAACTACGATAACCTAAAGGCTGGTTTGGATCCAGAGGGCTCAATATGCACACGTGTCAATGTTGTGTCAATGTCGTTTATAAATTGCTACTAGAGGATGTTTTTTTTTTGATTAATTGTGTTTCTTAGAAATCGTATTAAAAATACGAATTACATATTGATATTATATTATTTGTTGTTTTCTTTCAATTAAAAAAAAAAAGATTATGTTTTTTAATTTGATTATCGATAAAGTTGATTATTGAAAACACGAATAAAAGAACATTTTCTGAAAGTAAATCGTAGCTAGATCGATTTATCGCCCCAGAAATTCCCTGTATACTAAATTTTATGAAAATCGTTGGAGCCGTTTGACAGATTCAGATTATATATATATTTATATACAAGAATTGCTCGTTTAAAGGTATAAGATTAAGATTATAAGAAATGACCCATCGTTTTTTTTCTTTTTTTTTTTTTCTTTTTCAACAGTTGTAACTATTTTTCATCACCGTCACTGAACAGTAGGGAAGGTCAGGGAACGTAAAACAAAGCTATTACCTCTATTAATATTTCTCGAGTTTCTATTTCAGATTTTAAAAAATTTAACATTCGAAGATCGTAATTAAAAATGTAAGTATCGTTTTAATTGGTACTTTCATTTTCGATTTCAGTAATCGATTAAAATATCCGCTTCTATATTTCAGGATGCTCCAAGATTTTTGATCTGAGATGTCTGAAGTTTGTTGCGCACTGGACTTCTCTAAGGAAACAAGATATGGTGAGTAACATTTTAATTCAATTTGCGGCTGCGTGTGTTGTTACATTGGTAATCAATACGCATAAGAGGGTCATTTCAAATTTTGTGGCCAAAAAAGTTACGATTTCATAAATTTAAATTTTCTCTAATTTTCCATTTTTATAAGTATTTAAGCATGTTCAGAATAAAGAAATGCTTCATCACAATCAAGTCAATCACTCATTTATTGATAATCTATGTATATAAAAATGAATTGCTGTTCGTTAGTCTCGCTAAAACTCGAGAACGGCTGGACCGATTTGGCTAATTTTGGTCTTGAATTATTTGTGGAAGTCCAGAGAAGGTTTAAAAGGTAAATAAATAGGAATTAAATAAAAATAACAATTTTGTTTTGCCTTTGTTACGTCCTCCGTCGGACAGATTTCTTTTGTTTGTTTTAAGTTTATTTTATACAAAAGTTTAGGTATTTTATTTATCGATTAAGGCACTACGAAGTCTGCCGGGTCAGCTAGTATTACATAATATTCATTTATATTTTTCATTTTACGCATTTGATAACGCCAACACGGATGAAAATTTTAATAGGAACTTTTTTAAAAAGCTTATAATTCATACTTCTTTTGTTTTTAATAATGTTCTAATATCCTGTTAGTTTTCTTTTATTGTTGTATTATATACTGATTAAATAAAATTGCCGAATTTCAACACGCATTACTGGAAAAATAGCAAACAAGTTAGAATTTGAATTTCGAGCCAGTGATACGAATGATATTTGGGGTAGTTCTTAATATATAGCTCCTAATTTAACAGTGTTTCCGAAT